TATATATACACTAATGATTTAAACATTCAAAACATGTAAAACAGCAATACACATCAGTAAAAGGTTAATTATTTCAGTATAATAAGGAAAGCAATTGAATTGTGTTCTTGTTAAAATTCTAATTAATCAACACTATAAAACAAAATCATTAAGTATCATAAACTCAAACAGAAAACATAATAAAAATCATATTATAAATGTTAAACAAAAAGAATAAGGGTGAGTAAGACAAAATGAGAAAAAAGCAGATATAGAAAAGGAGAAAACGGGGGGAAACAGAGGTGTGCATTCCTGTCACGGCTGCACAATAATTACTTATTCGTCGTTTATTGAAGACCTGCTCACTGCTTTTCATTACCAACAACAGACGTACAGTGAGACAAGGAGAGGAGGAGGAGGAGGAGGAGGAGAGGAAACACAGAGGAAGCACCTAAAGGAGAGTGGTGGTGATAGGTGCTGGGGGAGGTTACCACAGGAAGGCAGGGCGAGTCAGGGCGTGAGGAAAAGGAAGGGAGATGGGAGAGGAGGAGGAGGTGGTGGAGGTTGTCTGTAACACAGAACGAGTGAGAGATTTGGAGAAAGTGGAAAGAAAAAGCGGAGTATGTTCCAACCTGGTCTGTGTGGTCCTGGGGGAAGCTCCACAGCACGGTTGGATCTAGAGGTAATTGACAGACAGCATTAATCAGCGGGTGAGAAACACACCGTCTTCGCTAGCTGCCTCAGATCACATACATATTAATGAGAGGGGTGGGGGCAAGGGTGGCTGCTGCAAGCACGTGCACGCACACACACTCGCACAGTCACTCACACACAGAGCAGTGCACAGTGAAAGACAAGAGAGGATCTAGGCTGTGTGTGCTGCAAATATGCAAATCTATGATCTCAGTGTAGATATGATAGCTCATATTATACACCAAATCATGCACATTTAGGAAAGTCACTGCAACACATACTCTAGTTTATTTGCTTAATTATTCCTACATCGAKACAAGCATTGCTGTTTTGCTGAAAAGATGTAAATATTAAACCAAATAGTGATTATTATTAAAAAGGGGTTTCTGCTTGTAATAAACAACAAATGATTAAAGAGAAAGAAGATCTGATTAATTAACAGATTAAGTAAATTACATATATTGTCTTGTCTTTTCATTAAATGAAAATTTGCTAATTTATCACMAAATAAGCTTTGAGGCAAAAATGTTGTGTCTTTGTTGGTTAGGCAATCAAGAAAATTTTGTGAGTCGAGATGACCAGGTTTTCTTTTGGACATTTGGAAAAYTTCTGCACCAAACTCTGTTTTTCAAGTTCTGAAAATACTGGRCAGACTTCATGCATCAATAAAACTATTCACCCACCCTTGACTTTTCTAACCAAACATCCACTCACCCATCTACGCCTTCAAACATTTATCCATCTACCGGTAAACTGTTTGTCTAAGCAGCCATCCATCCATTCATGAATTCCTCCATACATCTGAATAGGGTTGGGCAATATTGACATAAAAATTCATCACGATTTATTGTGRCTTTTAGCCGATAACAATAAATATGATGATTAATAGATAATAATTGCACTTACATGTGGCCGATATGGTCTTGGTCTACATTTTCTGGCTTTTCTCATACTCCCTAAAAATCCATCTTATCGTTTAGAAATGTATCCATCTAACTAAACTATCCAATGATCAGCCAGTAATTCAGGAATTCCTCTAAACATCCATCCATCTATCCATCTAACATTCATCCATACATCTTTCTATGCATTTAGCCATCTAGCTATCCATCCATAAGATCATCTAGTCATCCATCCATATTTTCAAACCTAAACTTTTCATCCATCCCTTTGATATATTTTTATATGCATGAACAAAGTCATCAAGTTTTACTTTACAGATCAACCATTGATCAAGGTCATTATCATTCAGTCTTCTCTTATTTTAGTAGTTTGCTGAAACACAAATTTAAATCTTTGACAAGTTGTTTAGGTTTATATAAACAGACAAAAGACTAGTAACAAGAAATACATCTACATACACTTCTGATTAGGGATGCATAATATATTGGCATTAACACGGGTATCGGCCGATGGNACAAGTGTGTTTGTGTACTATCCGTTTTCGGCCATAACAGTAATAATAATATCAGATATTGATATCGGCTGAAATTTTCATTACGGTGCATCCCTACTTCTCATTTGTTGCGTTTCCATTGCAAATGTGCGCAAAACTTTGTCGATATTCTGTTAATGTTGAAAAAACACAGTTTTGCAACTGCGTTTGTTCTCGCGACAATTCATTGCAAACATGGCGGCCATGGATGTAAACACATAGCATATTGCTACAACGACACTAGCGCTCATCATCAGAGGAGATGTCGGCGTCTTTTATCGAGGCTTTCCAGCGACAAGTCCCTACTTGGGAGCGGCTACTTATGCTGTGTTTTTGGGGATATTGTAGTCTGTGACTTTACTACTTTATTTTACTACTTCTGTGATTTTACTACTATTTCTACTTCCTGTTATCTTCTTCGTCGTCATCTTTTTCACCAGTAGAAACAGCCGGTTGTTGATCACGTGACTCCCGTGATGTGAAAAAGGTGTTTCCATTGCAGTTTTGCGAAAAACACCAATTTCGATACGGCCGAAAAACCACCTCATCCTAGCGCAAAAACATTTTGTCAAAAAACATATTTTTTTTCGAAATTGACGTGTTTCCATTGAGCAAATTTATTTTTTGAAATAATAATTTGCGCATTTTCGTGGTCATTTGGAAATGCAGCTACTGATAATTGTTACACGAGAGCACTGAAGATAACATAGAAACACAAGCTTCTATCCTTTACAGCTGCATTGGTCACAGGTTTGTGYCATGTGGCTGAAAGCGGGCAACCACCCAGCTATAGTCTGAACAYGGGGGTTATCTGGTAAACATGATTTCCACAGCTCTAAGTTCATCCTGTGACCCCAGCAAGAACAGCAAGGGTTTAAAGAGAACAGCTTTCACATGCCAAGTTCACCRTCACAGGCATACAAAAGGTCCACAGACTCACAAACCCATACCCCCACCTCTGCTTAAATAAAACTGACTGGGAAAAAGTGAATCTTAAAGTGCAATGAGCTTGATAACACTGTCGCAACACTAACTGGGTAAACAAAAACAAACACTGTAAACAGTAAAGCTGAATATATTCTAAATGAAAAAAACAAACATTTCTTCATGAAGCAGGAGAAGATGACCAGTCTTTTGTTAAAGACCATGTGAACTCACAAACCATKTTACGATTAGTTTCATGGCTAACAAGCTAGGATGTCTGCAAGAGAGGGGAGTACAATGGACACACAACAGAGCACAGCAGAAACCACGATGCTTTACGTAATCCTATTGGATAATTTCATGGGCCTCAAACTGAAAAGGGTGGCACAGATAAAACACAACAAAGCTCACGGCCTAACAATCCAACTCTGACCAGCTTCCTTATTCCAACCCTATGATCTGCCACAGTTAAGGCTATTTTCTGCCTATTTACTGGGTGAGAGGATGGGAAATCTTGCTGATGATAAATTACACAAGAAGACAGACGGTMTATATAAAATAATAAGAGGCGTTGGGCGATTTAAGAACATAGAGGGTTGTTGTGCTCAGTGCAATGAGAGATGTGCCTGAGCATCAGGGAAGAGTTCCATCACCAAGAACCATCAAATTAATATTCAGCTCATCCCTACCAGCTGTACCCATGTTTACAGCAGTACCACAGGACACCTAGCTAGTCAGTACAGATGTGAAGAGTGGGACTGAATTCAAGATCAGGGTCTGACAGCAGCTGCRACCAAACTGAGCCAGAAAAAGAAACTTAAATATGAGCTTTTATGGTGCCATCAACACYGGTGATAAACTGAACAGTTCACAGATAAGAGTGGTTGGGAGAACATGTTTTCACAAATGGCTAAAAGATTACAGATTGATTCATCCTCTGAATGTAATTAGTGAAAACAGCAGGTGAGAAAAAGAGTATGTCCCACTTTTTTCCCCACTGCAGACAGAGAAGCTCTTTTAAGCTTAAATGAAAACCTTCTTGGTTTTTTTTATACTGCTTTTTTCTTCCATTTTGTTTCACTGTAAATGTTCTTATTTCACCCCTCATTTATGGTCCTTATCTGATCACAAACAAACCCACCACACRCTCTCACCTGCCTTTCCTTGCAGTTTTCTTGCCTCCTCACTTTAAACTCCTGCTTACAAATTTCTCCCTTTCTTACGCWGAAACACACCTTCCTCTGTGTCTGCTGGGCATGTGGTGGATGAAAAAGAAGCCTGAAGAGGGTGAAGGCTGAAAGTTGAAGGTTACAGAGGGGAAGAGGACTCCTGCTGCTCCGCCAGGGGACACAAATGTCACCATGACAGATCCTGCATTGGTTAATTCACCTTCCCCTCCTTTAAAAAAAAAAAACACACAGACACACACACTGGACACACAGAATGAGTCTCATTAAATATTTATTTCTGAATTTAGAAACATTTAAGTCAGCAGTTAACACTGCAGTCGAGGTTTGTGGAAATTTGAATTCGATTTAAAGCTTTCGAGGTGCAAATGCCGTGTTCGTAACAGTCTACTTCGGATATTTTTTCCAAAAATTTCAGCCAACTTTAAATATGAACGGGGGCCGAAAACTTTAGAGGATTTGCATTTCTTTGGAATGTTTCAACAAATGAGAATTTTTACATGCCATGTACAAAAGTTTTGAAGTTTTCAAGAAGTCATAAAAGACTGCCAGAGAAAGCAAATTCAGCACCAAGAGGTTCTGGAGGACAAGTGCAAGTATGCTGTGGATATCAACACACATGTAGTAAATTAACACCTAAGCAAATGTGGGCTGTAGGCCGCATAAACGGCTGTGAAATGAGACGGCCTAATCCACGGATGACGAATGTTTACCTGACCGCAAGCTGTGGTATAATGTGTTTTATATTTCATGCCTTCAGTTGACTTTTCACAATATAACTTAACAAAATTCAGTATTATTAAAACTTTTTAAATATAAAAAAATCATTAATAATTTGGGTTTAGCTCCACTGTCTGTGCTTGTAATTGAATTTCATTTAACATCTCATCAGAGCAATAATTTCATCAGCTAAGTTTCTAAACTTACATTTAAAAGTGAATTCTTCGACCCGTGATAAATTTCCAAAATCTTGCCAAAAAAAGAAAAAAAAAGAAAACAATAAATCTCCGCCGTCTTCCTTTTTGCTATTTAATTTGCTGACAGTGCAATGAATCCTGGAATATCCTCGGCCACGATGCAGCTTACATTTTTGGGATTTTGACAGCAGAATGAGTAGGTGCCCACTGGGGTTGGGCAATATTGGCAAAAATAATTAATCACGATTAATTGTGGTATTTAGCCGATAACGATTAATTTGACGATTAGTCCCCTGGAGTCCCTGGATATCCGTATATCCTAATCAAATGACCAGTTTAGTGGAAACGATTTGCTCTTTGTRAAAATCTGTTCCAAAYTGTGTCAAAATTACAGACTTCAGGCTATACATTAATTTTTAAATTGTGTTGATAAATAAATAAATTACAGAACTTTTTTTTAAATATTTGTTATATTTGAAGCAGAAAGGAGCACCGAGCAGGTTAATGCCTGGTGGCAATA